AAAAGAGTTCCACTAAAATTCCAACTTCCAGAGACTTTTGTGTAAATTAGCAAAATAAGAGTATCATCAAAGGCAAATCTCTCCAGTAATAGCACATCCCAGTAACATTTGATACTGCATCTGGGCTGTCTGCTGCTGTCAGGTTCTTAGAGTGCACGTTCAGCTGTTCCAAGACTCCTGGTGCCATTCAGATGAACGTCACCCACCATCGGTGTGCTGCAGCTGGGTGACAGTCATGACAGGTAATCATCCAGACTTCTACGTCATGTATTTCAGAAAGAGAAGTTAGTGTGTTGTTCTGGTCATCATGCCTTTTGCCCAACTATTTATGTCTTTTTTTATTTAAAAAAACATAGCATCTGAAATATGTGTACTGCTTTAGAATTGGCAAAATGCTCCTTATCGCTAAATGATAAGCTCTCTTAGGGTGGCATCACAGCTATCTTGTTTTTGTTTTTGTTTGCTGAAGAATATTTGCCTTGAGCTGACATCTGTTGCCAGTCTTCCTCTTTTATTTTGTATGTGAGCTGCCGCCACAGCATGGCCACTGACACGTGATGTAGGTCTGTGCCTGGGAACCAAATCCAGGCTGCTGAAGCAGAGCATGCCGAACTTAACCACTAGGCCGTGGGGCTGGCCTGGGGTCATGTCTATTTTGCTCACCACCACCTGTCAGTGGCTAGGATATAACAGATACTCCACAGATATCTGAAGAATGAGGGAATAAACATGTATTACATTTCATAACAGCTTTGTTAACAAAACAGGTATTGTAATCTCTACATTTTGCAACGTAAGCAGTTATCTAAAAGATGAACTGATTTTTGTCTGAGCTCCATCATTAGTGCATGAGTAAGCCACAACTTGAATCCAAAGTCTTCTGACTTTACACTGAATGTTTTCTGTCACTTCAGTGAACTTAGAAGTCATCATCAACCGTTAATAATATTAAAATTAGAATAAAATGTAGTGGGAAGAGAATGAACATATACCACAAAACTTAACTACAAAATTGTCCCTTTGTCGCAGCCATGGACCTTTTTAAAATAGTACCATAACCAAAAACCAAATCCTAGTCCCACCCCCAGGCACCATGACTGTGGTCCCTTTAAGGTCATTCTTCACTTCATTCTGCCATCCTCTTCAAGACCTCAGCCACTTTGATAACAAGTGTGTATACAGGTTTTCTCTGACAGCTCCTGAATCTCAGCGACATCTTTCTTGCTTTCCAAATGTAACCCTTCCATTAAAGGAAAAGACTTCCAAGTTTAGCTCAGCCGTCAGTGAAATCACAGGGAAGACCCAAGTTTACATTTCCCAAAACCCAGATCTGTTCTCTTTCAACTCTTGAGTTTGTGAATTTCCATCCTTTTGGCATGATTTTCAAGTAATTCCGTTTTCCCTGTCAGACAAGAGCAAAGTGGCCACTCTAGCCACCAAAAAGAAGATTGCTCCCTGCTGCCAGCTGTGTTTTGATGGTCATTTGACGTGAGTGCCACCTGGGGCGGGTGGGGCAGCCTCTGGCACTGCCGCTGCCCTGGGCACCTTTTGGTGGGACAGAGCTTTGAAGGAGCGGACATCCCCCTACAGGTGGATTTGGAGCAATGCTTTGAAACAGAAAACTTAACAGGCAGTTAAACCCGAGGGGTTAATCTGCGTTTAGTTTTTTAGAAACATCTGAAAGTCTCGGTGTGGGCCCCTGAGAGAGTCCCGGGTGCGGGCTGGAAGTGGAGGGCTGGTGAGTGGGTGTGACGTTGGCTTTGTGTCTCCTTAGGCTGATAACCAGCTTTAGAGTGGCGTGAAGAGAGAAAGGAATTGAAATTCTTAACTAGGAAGACCACAGAGATCTTATCTGTTTCATGTTTATGAACCTTCAGACCTCAGTCCCTAGATGCCAACGCTGTCTGGTCTCCAGGCCCAGTGCCCTGACTTTCTCCGCCCCTCCCCGAATACTGGTCTTTAACCTTTGAAGAACTTCATGAAATAGAGATTGCAAGGAAACTTTTCACAAATTAGTTTAAATTGGAATACAAAGATTTTATTGTAATATAAAACCCTTTCATATAGCCATCTAGCACATTTTTGCTACGTACAACTTGCACACATACGTGAACCCCAGTAAATTAGGGAAAACGTAATAAGTAAGCACCCTGGGGTCTTACACATGTTGGGGTATGTACCTATTCTACTTGAACGACCTAACGCCTCTCTCCCTTTAATGTGCGCCTAGCAGTGGCTCCATGGAGTAGAATCTCAACAAATTTATGTTAGATGAGTGAACGAGAACTTCAGCTGGTCCCTTAGAACCGACAATTTCAGCCGAGCAGGCAATAAAAGATACTTATCTCTGTGTTTAACACAACGGGTAGCTTTTTGGAGAGAGGCGGTCAATTAAATTGAAGTTTGGATTGTTCTGGTATGGCACCAGCATGCCCACCGCTTTGGAGCCCCGCCTCACGCAGCTGCTCTCTTCAGCTGTGTTTACCTTAATGCTCCCCTCGGAGGCCTGCTGGCCGGACGCGAGCGTGGCCAGGGGCTCTGTTTCTTCTCATCCCCAGCACCACACACTTGTTCCCTGTCTTTTCCCAACAGTGCCACTCACCCCTTGAAGTGGTTGTTTGTTGTTGGCTTTTTGTGGGGCAGGGGGACCAATTATTTCATCTTTTTCTATTCATAAAAATAAAGTCTCCAAGAAATGCAAAATTGTTCTACTTGTCCAAGGTGAAGGCTCTGTGCTCCTCCCAATATGTTATCCTTGTGAAACCTGTGGTCAGCCTAAAACAGGAAGCTTGATTTTTCTTTTTCAGATTTTCTGTCAACAGGAATATGGTTCTTATGGTTGAAAGTACGCTGTGCTTTTCTTCTTAGTGTTCACAGCCTTGTCTTTAGAATGGTACTGAGTAATTTAGGCGCATCTCTTCTGCAGGGTGTTTTATTAGTAATGCTTAGTCCGGTGGGTTTGCCAGGAAATGTTTTCCTCTCAGGGTCAGAGTGGGAGTTGAGTTTACAGCATACTGTCACTGAGCATGTGACCTTGACTTGCTTCATTCTAAGTTTAATTTTCTGCTTTTTAGTCAGCACTCTGGCCCACTCTTGTCTTTTACATTGAAGAATTTTAGAAGTAAAAACTGCCCTCACATTTCCAGTCATCATTGCTAGAACCCGAACTTCTGATACTTGTTCACACAGTAGCACTGACAGGACCCTGGTTTTCACAGAGAGCAGAGACCGTTGCATTTCTTACTCTCATGTTCCTTAAATCCTTGTTGGCCTAATATCGTGCTTATGTTTGTATTCACTGTAGCCGTCTTCTGGGTGCGTGTGCGTGTGCCAAGTCTCCCTGGGGTGGCGGTGTGGAGAGCTGGAGCTGAGCGCAGTGATGACAGGCTCTTGGCCAGAGCGCCCTCCCCTGCCCCTGCCCCTGCCCCTGCCTCAGGGAGAGGGCGGGCCGAGGCGTGCCGGCCCTGCTGGTCTGGGTCGTCAGGGACAGATGGCACAGCCAGGTTCCCCTTGCGCCCTGACACAGCAGGTGACCATCCGAGGGAACCTGCCTGGGGTGGCTTTCCTCTCACGGAAAGAAGGCTTCTCTGCTCTTGAGCGCAGGCCTGTTTGTGTCACTTCCACTTAACAACATCACCTTGCATTCTCTCCTACCTCCCAGATAAGACTGCTTACCTTGCAATTATCCTTTCTCACAGAAAGAATCAACTAATTTCTGGACTATATTTAATTATCTTCAGTCAGCTTTCTCAGTTACGCCTTCAGCAAAATATAAGTAGTAACACTTGAACCTTCTTATCCCAAAGAAATACATATGAAATTGGCTTCTCAAAAGAAAAAGAGTGCAGCCGTGTATACCACATAGTATATGACAGAATCCGAAGTTAGTTATATATTTAATATCTGCAAATGCCAATTTAAAAAGTTGCTTATTGTTCTTGGCCTTTATCTCAACTGTCCTAAATAATCAGTAGCTTGGATGACATTTTGGGAAAAGATCCTCCTTGATATCCTTACTGCTAACATTCATGACTTTACAATACAGTCGAGTTTGCTCTGTTTTATAGAGAAGGAATTATCAGTATATGCACTTCATTCTAGAAGGCATTCTGAAACATTATTCTACTCCAAGGAAAAGTAGTTGTTTTGGAGTTACAATAAAGCAGCATTTTGTTTCTTGCAAAATCATGGTAATGAAAGCTCTTACTGAGTACTGAGAACCCCAGGACCACTTGCGTGTGTTATCTCCTTCAGGCCCGCTGTTCTCAGACTCACTGACAGGAGAGAAAGCTGGGCCCACAGGCTTCTCATCAGAAGTCACAGTTTTAGGTGATGAAGCTGGGGTCTGGTCCAAGATGATCTGACTTCTGACCTCTGCACTGTTCAATCTTGTGTGCCTACTTTTGAGTGAAGTAGTGTTCATTAATTCTGTACCATCCTGAAATCTTGCATTTTATCCAATCTTTAACTTGCTTTACAGAATCAGATTGAGTAGTTTTGTCAGAAGTTTCCCCCAGAAATGATTTCTTAAGATCAAAATAGTCATCCAGCATAATAATTTGACTGTTAACTTTGGAGTAAGATGCTATAATAGATATTTTGCATATGTTTTATAAGTTTTGGTAGATATCCTCCTTCTGTCCTCTGTTTTTTGGTATGTTAATGTGTGTGTGTGTATATACACACGTACATGAAGAATATATATATGAAGAAACTGAAGTACATTTTTAAATTTCAATTTTGAAACAGACCAGCAGTTACAGAAAGTATAAACAATGACAGAAACAGAAAAAGAATGCAAGAAAACTCCTAACTAATTTAATCCTTTTTTAAAACCTATATGAAAATAGTCCTTTCACCATTTGGTTCTCGAAAGGAAATAGTCGGGGTCTTTCTCCTCAGAAAACGTGAAGGCGGTCGTACAGAGCCCGGGAGGGCAGCGGGGGACCGGGAGCTATGTTCCCATTAAATGCCTTTCTCCTCCCCCTTCTTGATTTCAGGTGTCAGAAACTATTTAAAAGAAGCATTGGTGAACATAATTGCCGTGCACGCAGAGGTAAGCTATCATTAGATGTTCCTAAGAGATATGGGTAACTCGAAAAAAAGAAAAAGAGGAAAATGTGATGGTTTTTATGGTGGTCTTTTTTCCCTTCAGAATATACCTTGGGTAGAAATAAAACACAGCTCTACTTTCATGCAGGCACATGCACATGTGTGGTTTTAACTGAGAGTCTTTTTCTGAAATTGTGTATGTTTTTTCTCATAATTAAAACTAAATTCCTTAATATTTGAAAGGTAAGGAGAAGAGAGATTGAAAGGCTGTTTCCCCTTATCTTGAATTGAAAAGGAATGTTAAATCCCTTTATCTGGGAAAATTCATTAACCTCTTTTTAACCAGTATACAAATAAGCATTGATGTCTTACTCACGTAGCAATGTGGTCTTACTTAGTGGCTGGGATTCCAGAAAAGTAGACGCTTGTTAGAAAGGTAGGCTCAAAGAGCAGGCTGAAGTTAGGGAGCAGGGGCATGGTTTCCTATCACTGGCTGACCTGGTTACATGGAGATGTTGGTGCTTCTGGTTCACACTAAAACTGGCCCTCACTTGAAGCATCATCATCCTAAGCTTCATACTCACATCCTTAGTTAACATCCTTCTTAGGAGGGCTCTTCTAAGGAACATCAAAAGAAGAGACCACAGATGCCACCGTTATCGCCACTATGACTGCCTGTTCTGTAATTTTACAATCTGTGACTCACTGCTTTGCCAGGACTTTCAGAGTGGCTGTGGCTCATACGCTGATGGCTGACCAGATCAAATGGGGCCACGCAGATATCTTACCATTAGATAATTTCCACTGTTGCTTGAGTGCCTTTTAAACTGTATGCATCTGATATAGGTGCATTTAGGTTTATACCACTCCACTCTCTACATCCAAAAGTATCTGAGATTATCAAGGTAAACTGGAAAAACATGGATAATTAAGGGTAAAGCAAGAGTGACTGAAGGAAACGAAGAGTCTGCTACCCCGTTCCTGAACTTGGCTTTCAGTTTGGAGCAACTAGATCAGAAAGAGCAGTATAGTATGTTAGAGTTTTCATTACTCACTGTAACTTCCTCTATAAAAATTGGTTTTTATATGATTTAACGCAGACAGGAATTTGTCTTATATATCTTTTTATAATGAGTAATATATTTTCAACTGTGATTTTATCAAAGATATAAAAATGCTTTCTTGTTATATTAGCATCCAATAAAATTAGGGTATAGAATTAAAACCTCCACCAGGGGAAGCATTTCTGTGGCAGATGGACAGGTGGCCATTGGAGGAACGGGGAACACTTGGGAGCTCTCGGTGATGATGGTGATCCCTAAGAGGCAGCTTTGATCACTGTCCTTTATCAACAGCCATGGGCTGATTTGAAGAGATTAAGCTTTTCAGGCCCCATTTTAATTTATCCCATGACTGAAAGTAGAATTTCATTCATAATGTTTATTATTTACAAACATTTTCTTGAACACACATTATGTTGGGGTCGACCCAACGGTTTAATACTGGTGACTCAGTCTGAAAAAAGGAAAAGCTAAAAAGAAAACATGATTTAGTTTAATTTATACATCAGGATAGTAAAATGTTTCACCACGTTTTTAAATATAGTAACTTAGTTTGAAAATGCCAAAATTCAAAGTTTAAAAATAATGTTTTATGTTAAATGAAAGGAAATATATTTAATTCAGCAAATAGTACAACTGGAGACCTTATTGCCCAACGTAGAATAATGTACCCAGTATGAAACAGTGTTTGTTGCCATCTAAGGAGAGTTTGACCCAGTATGTTTTTTTTTAATCGTGGTAAAATATTGAGCCAATATATTTTTATTTCTGTAATTTCCTCTTTAGAAATCATATTTCTTCTTGTGAAAAGGACAAGAGGAACAAGAAGTCTTTAAAACTATTTTTAGTTTGTCAACATCAACAATATCTTTCAAAATTATATTTACCAATATATTTTTAAGAGTATTGTTTTTGTCATGAATCAGTTAATACATCTTCAGTGTGAGTCTGTATCTTTCTTCCATTCATAATTCTGATCCTTTAAGCTGCCACAATGCATCATTTCTTCTTATTTGAAACCTTCCATCAGGTGTTCACTATTTCCAAAGAGTTAGTGCCTCGGGTTCTGTCCAAGGTGGTCGAAGCGGTTTCTGAAGAGCTAAGTCGACTGATGCAGTGTGTTTCTTCCTTCAGCAAAAATGGAGCATTACAGGTACCAAAATCATTCAGTTCCATGTTGAACTTTTATTTTCAGTTAAAACATGAAAGTGTGTCTTGTTTATCAGTCTTACAACATGCAGGCTGTTGTGGTGGCTTAGTGCATCTCCTGATTGGAGACCCACAGCATCTCTCTTGCGTAAGCCACACCCATCATACCTGGTCTGCAGGTCCCAGAGCTTCCGTTTCTTTAGAGTAGAGCAAGACCTTAATGACTCTTGTGAAATTATCTGAATGCAGATTCCTTCTAAAGTTCTGTGATTTTTTTTTTAATTTTACAGTTTTCTTCATTACATTCAATTTCACAGGAAAGTTTTAGCAACTTACCTTTTTTTTTTTTTAAAGGCACCAGAGTTAACATCTGTTGCCAATCTTCCTTTTTCTTTTTTTTTCTTCTTCTTCTCTCCAAAGCCCCCCATACTTAGTTGTATATTCTAGTTGTAGGTCCCTCTAGTTGTGCTATGTGGGACCCCACCTCAGTGTGGCCTGATACTTTATATGTAGGATGCCTACCACAGCATGGCTTGCCAAGTGGTGCCATGTCCACACCCAGGATCCAAACCAGCGAAACCCTGGGCCACTGAAGCAGAGTGTGCAAACTTAACCACTCGGCCACAGGGCCAGCCCCTTTAGCAACTTACTTTTAATAAGTTTTTCCAAGGCATTCAATGCAGTTTGCATATAAACGACAAATAACTGTCTCTTTGCACCCATATTTCATTGGTTTATGTTGTAGTTATTTAAATTTAATAATTACAATAACAAATACAACCTCTATAAACCAGATGATTCTTGGTATGCGTAAAATCAAATTGGTAGGAGCCAAGGTGTACAGGCATCTGAGAGAGTGACCTCCTCCTTGTGAGCCTTCAGTGGCCCAGAGCATTGTGAGTGTATTTTTAAAAGATCCTGGCAGTTTGCTTCTAGTAATGTCTGAGGAAGCTCCTATCAAACCAACACGCTACAGATAGCAATTATAATCTTGAATAATATATAAAAATAAAAAATGTAAAAACAAAAACCTGAAGACACCAGAAAATGACCATTAGCGGGCGATGCTGGAAGAAGTGGCACTTGGCTGAATTCCTCACTTTCTATGGATTTTAGTCTGAAGGCAGGCCCAGGGGTGCCTAAAACTCCACAAAACCTACCGTCTTTCTGGCTTGAAGAATAGGATTCAGGGCAGCCACAACTACAGGAAAACAAGCGAAGTATCCCAGAGAGCGGAAAGTAAGAGCCCCCAGTTCTGTGTCTACACTGTGAAATTCTCTAGTTGACCCCTAAACTACATGTGCATGGTCATACTCCACTCGTGCCAGCCCGATTAAGGCTAGAAGAACTGTAGCAAATTGAAATGCTGCCCAAGAGCCGTGAGTTTTCAGTTTGAGTCCAAAGAAGTTAATTGCTTGCTAAAACAAACAACAAAAATCAACACTCTTCAGAGGTGTATTACAGAATCCAGAGTCTCCACAACATAACATTCACGATGTGCAGGATTCAATGCAAATTTAATTAAGATGCACAACCAAAGCAAACAGGAAAATGTGATCCATTGTCAATAAAAAAGACAATCAGCTGAGACCAACCTCGGACTGACCTGGTTGTGGGAGCTCGAAGACAGAGGTTCCAGAGCAGCTGTGTCCAGTGATGGAAGAAGGCTGTGCTCCTCATGAATCGACGAGGAAGCTCAACAGAAAAATAGAAACCCTAAAAGGGAACTAAATGTAAATTGTGGAAGGGAAAAAATACAATGTATGATTTTTTAACAGCAGAATAGAGAGGACAAAAGAAAAAGTCAGTGAATTTGTAGATTAGCAGAAATTATCCAATATGAAGAACAGAGAAAAGAACAATTGGGAAAATATAAACAGAGTTCTGGGGACCCCTGAGACAATGTCAAGAGGTCTAACATACATGCAATTCAATTTCTAGTCCACACATGATAGGGTGGTCAACATCGTTAGTTATCAGGGAAATAAAAGCTAACACTATAATAAGATACCATTATATGTCCACAGGATGAAAAAAATTAAAGACTGAAAATACCAAATGTTGGCAAGACTGTAGAGAAACCTGGGCTCTCACACGTTGTTGGGAATGTAAAATAGTATACCTACTTTGAGAAAAGCTCTTGCAGTTTCTTTTAAAACTAAGTATACACATACCCAGCCATTCCAATCCTAGATGTTTAACCAAGAGAACTGAAAATGTATGTCCACGAAAAAAACTTATATGAGAATGCTCATAGCAGTATTATTCATAATAGCCAAAAACTGGAAATAGTCCAGATATCCCTCAACAGAAGAAACAAACTGTGATAGGTTAATAAAACCAAATACTGTTAGGCGTTAAAGAGAACAGTCTACTGGTCCCACCTGGATGCATCTCAGGAGCACTCAGCTGAGTGAAGGGAGCCTACACAAAGTTCATTTCATCCACATGAAATTCTACAACAGATGAAACTAATCTATGGTGGGAAAAAAAATCTCAGGACAGTGCTTTCCTCTGGTTGGTTGAGATTTACTGGGGAGGAGCCTGAGTTCCTGTGCCTTGATAGGGTTCCCATTGCACAGGCGTATGCATCGGTCAAAACTCATCAGATGGTACCCTCTAAGATTTGTCTGTTGAGTAGTACATAAATTTTAACTCAAAAAATAAAAACAGAATTGAAACAGTCTACCCAGTTAATGGTGCATGGTAAAGTACATCACAACAATATGGTGGATTGATAATGGATAGGTATGTGATAGTCTTAGTAAATGTTAATGGGAGACTCTGGGTATATAGGTGTTCACAGTAAAATTCTTTCAAGTCTCTATATGTTTGAAATTTTTCATGCAAAAATATTGGAGGGGCAAAAGGAATGGAGAGCTCGTTAATTTGGCAAATTGGTTAGGGGAAAATCTGTTACAAATGTTACAGAAACTTCTGCTGTATTTCCAGTTGTCACCGGTTTTCTCTAAAAATTTGATGGATCAGACCTTTGATATTATAAAGTTGAAAGGTGATGATTATTATTAATAGTTCTATCAAAGGAGATCAGTAGCATAAATTGTGTAATACTGAAGATTAATTAAAAGGAAATTGCAGTAGCTACAGAGGCCTAGCAGTCTTGGAAGTATAACACAAATCTCCCCTCGCCGAGAATTAGCTCTGTGACCTGTTCGCCTGATGGCTAAATTCCTCTCAGAGCTAGCAGGAAGAGGGCAGGAAGAAATATCAGAATCAGCTGGAGAACGTGTTTGATGTATGGCATCCAGGAGGCTGCTGGCCGCCATCACTGTTTCAACTCTAATATTCTGATACGTCCTAGAGACTGGGCAGTCGTTTCTATTTTCAAAAAGTTCAAATGAGTCTAAACCCTGGCTTCACGCTCACCCTCTGAGATGACTGTATTAGACTTCCTTCTTGTGAGCAGAGCACTCTGAGAGGGGCCACATGTTAGTCTTTACTAGTCACTCACATCAAGGCCAGTGCATCCGTCTTAGAACCTTCTGGAGAGCCAGTGTAGAGAGGGCTGGAGTGACGGTTTGGCAACTCTCACTGATCTTTTAGCACGACATTTTCTGGCATACACTTCTATTTGTATTATATAAATATCCGTAGCTTTTATAATTGGCCTAATTCATAGGTTAATTTAAACACCTTATCACTTTGTTTGAATGAAATTTCTACATGAAGATTAGCCTTACAGTGATTTAATCATTCTCCTAAAATATTCAGCTGAAAGTTCTCCCTTATTTTTTCTGTTTGGTATTTTCCTTGTAGATCTGTTTTTGTATCTACTGGAATATAAACAATAGAGACACATTGTCATAAATATGCTTTCTGGTTACAAACTGTTCCTCAGGCTTCTAAAGCATTGAAAAAGGAAACGAAACAATTGCTTCCCAAACAGAAAAAAATTTCACTGAATATCCTGTATCTTATATAAATCAGCTTTTGTCTAGATTGGTTACAGAATTTCTAATTAACTCTGCTTTAAAGAGCTAGCCATACCTTTTCTCATTGTCTATGTCTTCTGCACTCCTGGAGACTATGGACTGTTTCTCCGGAGCATCACCCACACTGAGTCAGAGGCAACACGTGATGCGGGCTTCCCCATCGGAGGCCGTTCTAGACCTCCAGGGACAACTGAGCTGTATGTAAAGTCACACTTCTTCACGCTTGCAAAGAATTGTAAGCTTTGGGTTAGCTTTTCCCTTAAAAGTTTTATGCAGATATAATTCATATATCATACAATGTGTCTACAAGATAAAAAGTATATAATTCAGTGATTTTTTTTTTTTACTATGTTCACAGAGTTGTGCAGTCATCACCACAGTCAGTTTTAGAACATTCCATCACCCCAGAAAGAAACCCCAGACCCATTAGCAGTCACTCTCCATTTTCCTGCCACCCCCTAGCCCCAGCCACAGAAAAGCACCAGTCGGCTTTCTCTCTCTGATTTGCTATCTCTATGATTCACCTATTCTGAAAATTTCATATAAATGGAATCGTACAAATATGGCCTGTGTGACTGGCTTCTTTCCCTTAGCATATTTACAAGGTTCATTCATGTTGTAGCATGTACCAGGACTTCAATCCTTTTTATGGCTGAATAATATTCCATTGTATAAATGTATCACATTTTATTTGTCCATTCATCATTTGATGGGCATTTGCATTGTTTCCACTCTTTGGCTAATATGAAGAGTGCTTCTGTGAACATTTGTGTACCAGCTTTTATGGACATATGTTTTCATTTCTCTTGGGTGTATGCCTAGTGGTAGAATTGCTGGGCCATACGATTACTCCATGTTTAATCTTTTGATGAGCTGCCAGAGTGTTTTTAAAGTGGCTGCACCACTTTACTTTCCTACCAGGAATCCATGAAGATTCCATTTTCTCCACATCCTCACCAATACTTGGTACTGTCTTATTGATTATAGATACCATAGTGTTTGTGACATGGTATCTTATTCTTGGGGTTGTCTTTTCACTTTCTTGATGAGCACAGAAGTTTTTAATTTTGATGAAGTCCAATTATCTATTTTTTTCTTTTGTTGCTTATACTTTTTCTTTTTTTGCAGAAGATTAGCCCTGAGCTAACATCTGCTGCCAGTCCTCCTCTTTTTGCTGAGGAATACTGGCCCTGAGCTAACATGTGTACCCGTCTTCCTCTGTTTTATGGGGGATGCCTGCCACAGCATGGCTTGATAAGCATTGTGTAGGTCCATACCCGGGATCCGAACCAGAGAACCCTGGGCCACCAAAGCAGAACCTGTGAACTTAACCGCTAGGCCCCAGGCTGGCCACTTGTTGATTATACTTTTGATGTCATTTCTCAGAAGCTTGCCTAGCCCAACATCACGGAGATTTACTCCTGTTTTCTTCTAAGTGTTTTATAGTTTTATCATTTACATTTAAGTCTGTGATCTATTTTGAGTTAAGTTTTGTGTAAGGAAGGGATCCGACTTCAGTGTTTTGCATGTGGATGTCCAGTTGTCCCAGCACCATTTGTTGAAGAGACCGTTCTTTCCCCATTGAATGATCTTGGCATCTTTGTTGAAAATCAATTGATCATAAATTTAAGGGTTTATTCCTAGACATTCAGTCCTATTCTGTTGATCTTTATGTCTGTCCATATGCCAGTGCCACACTGTCTTGATTACTGTAGCTTTGTAGTAAGTTTTAATATCAGAAAATGTGAGTTTATCCTAGTGTGTTATTCCTTTTCAGGATAGTTTCGTCTGTGTGAGATCAACTTGTCAATTTTTGTTTAAAAAAAAAAAAAAGCTGTGATTTTAATCTGCATTTTTGTGATTAAAGTCAGTGTGCCTGGAAGGGCATAGGTGTGAGGAAGTAAACCAACCCACTTCCTCAAATCTGTGGGGGAGGGGAATAATTCAGGGACAGTGTTTCAGACTTTCCTTCCTCTCACAAGCAAACTGCAAGAAAAATTACTGGTTAGATAGTAAATACAGATTGCTGGAAAATCTTTGCACAGTTTGTACCTTTCATAGCAAGGTATCTGGCTCCCTGCCTTCACACAGTCATACTTGACTATGAGTTAATTTTCAGTAGAAGGAAATGTTGTCACAGCTGATCTCTTTGGACTGTTTTGGAAAGTCCGTTCATAACTGACGGTCCCCAGGGCAGTGAGAGGAACGACACGCCTGCAGTATTTCGCCGACCCCGTCCCTGCAGACCGTCGCCTCACCACTTGTTTCTATTTGGTCATGAATGCGGTTGCCTATTGTCACTTTGTCCTTTTCTCCTCTTTAGGCAAGGCTTGAAATCTGTGCTTTGAGGGATACTGTGGCCGTTCACCTGACGTCTGAAAGCAAGTGAGATACTAAATGTTCTTGTTCTGAGCACTTCCTTAAAAACAAGCCTGTCTTCTATTGTATAAAATCCTCTGTAAAGACAACTGATCGGAGGGAATGCTCACGGTCCTGTGACATGAGAAAGTTTGTATTTCATTGATCAATTTTTTACTGAAAAAACATAGACCTACAAAAAGCCAGGGACTCCTGAGAGGGCTTCTTTGTAGCATAATACAAAGGAAGACAAGTTTAATAGAATTGTATGTTTTTCATTTGCTCAGATAAACCTTAGTCTCATAAATGAGGCAGCAGAACATCACATATTTCAAACAAGGAGAGAATAAGAACTGAGTCTTAGTCTATTCATAGCAGACTCTGAAGGGCAGTTCACGCGTTGTAAATATCAGCATAAGAGGAAGCCTTGTGGTTTCTCTGCAAAATTTTGTAGTGGAAATTTGATGATAATTTTTAGCTGTTTTGAATGAAAGTCAGGATTTCCTATCATTGAAGTATCAGTAAGTGAACTGAAACAGCACTAAGTATTCGTCTATTCAAGATTGTTTACTCCACTGCAGAATTAACTAGGAAACACTGGGTTGTATTGTGAATGTGCCTGAGAAGCCAAGGAGTATTCAAATAGAATATTGAAGGGTACTTCGTGCGATATACTTATTCATTCATTTTCAGCTTTGATAACATGGCTTATGCCATCATTCTTACTGTCATCATCACAACTGAAAATTTTAAAATTTTACAATTTTTCCGAAGTTAGCTTCTTTCTTCTGTTCATCACGACTGACCAGAAGCTGTTTGTAGATGGCTCCCATGTTAGTTACTTAACCACATCTTTTCCCAACCATCGTTTTTCTGTACAAAGTGCTCAAAAATAGATGATAGTACCCAGTCCATATTTGATGTGTATGCATGCTTTGTGTAAGTACCTGTGTGTTTATTCCCCCTAAATTAACTTTTCGTAGCTTAAGTTCTTCATCTATGAAAAGAAGATAATACTATTTTCTAGGCAAAGTTATGAGAGAATTAAATGAGAAAAGATGTCAAGTCACCTTCTAAACTGCCAGTGCACTGCAAATAGTAGGCACTATCATCTTCAGCATCGTCAGTATTGTCATAGTGTAAAAATAAGGAGTAGCGGCCTTGCCTTTCTTCTGATGCTGGAGACTCCGTCCATATCAGGAAAGAAAAGAGCCGACTTCATACTGGGAAGGAGCTGAGTGTGGCCGCAAGCCACAGCCTGCCCCCGCCCTCAACCCTCCCCCCCACTTCAGACTGCTGAGGCTGCCCATGGCCAGGGTTTAGGACCCTGTTGGGATGTTGCGATCTCTCTATATGTTGCTGTCATATCAGCCCCTGGTTTGAGAAATATTGCTCAAAAAGTATATTTCCTGGTATACTGATGAGGATGTTTTTCAAAGACCACTTAAAAGTCAAGAATAATTACATTTAGTATTTAGTTCTTCACCTTAGTCAACCAGTCATAAAAGAAGAAGAGATAAGAAGTTAAGAACTGTTCCTCAGTGAACAGGAGAAGTTATTACTAAATAATCTCCCCTAAAATGCTTTTCATTTGATTCAGTAATTTTTCTGGTACTTCTACTTAAAAAAGTTAAACATACCAGATTGTTGGCTTTTTATTTTTTATTTATTTTTTTTTGGTGAGAAAGATTGGCCCTGAGCTAACAGCCATTGCCAATCCTCCTCTTTTTCCTTGAGAAAGATTGTGTCTGAGCTAACATCCATGCCAGCCTTCCTCTGTTTTGTGTGTGGGATGCCGCCACAGCATAGCTTGATGAGTGATGTGTAGGTCTGTACCCAGGATCTGAACCCGTGAAGCCCAGGCCACTGAAGCGGAGTGCATGAACTTAACCACTGTGCCACTAGGCTGGCCCCACAAATTGTTGGTTTTTTAATTTTCCATTTTTCATGAAATGAAATGATGTTGAATTTTTAAAATATACATATACATCTCTCCGTTATCCTACAGATTTTAAATATAATAAAAACTAAATGCTATAAAGATGGTGTTTAGTTATTAAAAGATATTGGCTGTAAATCAGGCCTTGTACATGTCAATACTGTAAATGTCCCCATTTGCATAATCTTTCACAAGATCATCCCTATTTCTACTTAGTTTCTTTTCTTTCTTACCAGTTGCTTTATCTGTAGTTGTTTTGTTTTGAAAATAAAGACTTTTTTTAATTAAACGTATCCACATTAAACTCTCATCTACCATGAGTAACATCCTTTTGTAAAAAATCAGTTTCTCCTTTAGCCTTTCACGTTGTTTTGTTTCCTAGTCAAATTTATCTGACCTGCTCCTACAAGGCCTCTCTCTGGTAACTAACTCTACCCTCACTTTTACTTTTACTTTTTCTATTGTTTTTCACTTTTACTTTTTCTCCTATTTGTACATGCTTCACTGGCTTATATTGATTTTTTTATGTTTAAGACATTCTTGAGAATTTTTAATGGGCTCTTAATTCCCCTTGGGAATATGAAAGAAATTTCAACTTAAATGTGCCATTTCTGTTCCAGGTCTAGTTTCAAACAGGCTTTGGAAGCCCTACCTCAGCTCTCAAGTGGAGCAGATAAAAAGTAAGTTCGGTATGCCATTCTCAGGGGCTAGACAGACGTGCTGAACAAGGTTTTGGTTTAAGGAAGAGCAAGCCTTAATAGTCCTTGGCAGCATGCATTGCGTTAGCTGTACCTGCCCGTCTCAGAAGTGACAGGGTAAGGTACAACCTTCTGGGTTTATGACCATTTAGAAAGTGGTTCTCTTGTTTTAGGTGACTAGGGCTGAAAACTCATAAGAAAGTTTATTTTGACTCACTCGGTAAACTATGTTATTGTCTTAAATTCTCAAGAAGGTAATACTTAGAGAAATTTAAAAGAGAGGACAGCCCAGTAAAGGGCAGGCCTCAGTGATTTTTCTCCTCGGCAATGTACATTTTGTGCTCCATATAATATGAAGTATTAAGAAAGAGTAGATTTGTATATATGACATAATGAAGTTGTATATGTTTCATTAATGCTGTACTAATGATCTCAGCCTGAGTTTAAACTTTGTTACTCATATAACAGGGGATTCTGGCCTGAGACAAAATCTAGGCCGGGCAGATTTCGTAAATGCCCAGCCTACCCTCTGCTGAGGCAGCGCAGACATTGTTGCTCCGTGCTCCTTCACCAACCGCAACTGAAGTTCACCTGCCTTTGCATTTGGCTCACCAGTCCCCAGGCAGATATTGATGGTGTTTTTCCTGCATGAAAAACTGGGTGTGGGCTCTGTGATCTGGCACAAGTGAATGTTGTGGAGAGGGAAGGCAGAGAGAACAGGTGGGGCCTGGGCCAGTGGAGGAGAGTGTCGCCTGGACGCTTGGCCTGAGCTTGGAAGAATGAGCAGCAGATGAGTTCTTTGGCTTATATGTTCCTTGTGTGTGTTCCTAAATGGGCGAGTGGATGGCTGTGTAACAGTGCCCTCCCCGAACCCTGTCTTCCCATTTCCTAATCCCTTCTTCTCTGGCTGACTTTCAGCCTCTATCTGAATTGGTTCCCAGCCCTGTTCATTTCTTTAAAATAAATATGATAAAAGATTAAAACATTCACTATTATCTTTAACATGTGGAGCATGTCTCAAAAGGCTAGTGCTTGAGAGTCAGGAACAGCAGACCCCCTGATAGGGTCCTGGATCGGGCTGTATTTTAGGCTACGGTTGGGACAGTCTTCTAATGCCAAACACTGTGAAACCATGCAATCATCTCTTGACCCCAGTACCAGTAAGCCCATTTCTTGGTTGCTTCATCTGAACCAGGTGAACTTAAGATCCCTTCTGGTGCTAAAATTCTATGCATAATCGGACAAGTTAAGGGAAAAATTGAGTTATCAAGTAGTAGAATGATTTGCCAGTGGAGTTAGAACTAACTCAGATTTTTCTGGTGTTTAATTCACCACTTTAGTTCACCACTCTCCAATATTTGTTACAGACAAAAATGCAAAATAAGAGGAACAGAAAATAGACCAAGAGGTCCTGAGGGGTGGGGATAAAGAGAAAGGTGACTAAAGGGGCAGCATCAGAGAATTTGGAGCTTGACGGAACTCTTCCGTATCCTCACTGTGGGGGTCGCTGGACTGCTAAGATGTGTTGATCAACATTCATTGAACTGTGCACCAGCCAAAGTGCATCAGAGTGGGCATGAATTTTTGAAAGGTGAATTAAAGTACAGGTCCAAACATTAACCTTTTTAGGGAGGAATCTAATTAATCTAGGGGAAGTGGACAGGAGGGAGATTTTTATATATAAACATAAATATGTACATAGATGTCTATTCCTATTAACTACCTTCTTTGATCGACTTGTTTCTGTTACTGAGTTAAGAAACCATGGATAAATAACTTTTTCAGCAAGCAGAAGCCAAAGCTGGGCAGTCGGCAAGCCTGCGTGTGTTCATGTTGCTGTAGGCAGCCTTCCTTCTGCCAGACTGTAACGTGGTGTTTCTCCCTGCAGGTTATTGGAAGAGCTGCTGAACAAGTTCAAGAGCAGCATGCACTTGCAGCTCACCTGTTTCCAAGCTGCTGCTCCACCCATGATGAAAACATAACGCTTCCAAAATAAGGGCAATCCAAAGATAACATGTAATAAAACCATTCACTTTCTTAAGTGCCCTAAAGGTATTTGGTGTATAAAGCATTAGATTTGCAATTTCTCTCTCTCTCTCTTTTTTTTTTTACCCCGAATTCGTAGCTTAGAAAGATGTTGGTATATGTTTTATTTCAACCAGAGTGACCTTATTTGAAGTGCCGGAGCAGTATTTGTTTTGCCACTCTTACTGCATTAGGTCCTGGATGACTCTGGTGGCTTGTTACCAAGTGTCTCCTGGTGAGTGCTGCGGGAGCGTGGCTGCGATGTTCACAGGGGCATCCTCGGTGTCACATGCACTCGACTTTGAGGATCAGCAGCTTCCGAGGCACACAGAGAGATTGACGAGAAGAGATTTGGGAAGTTCTGTATAGACATCTTTGGAGCTTTAACTGTCCTAAACTGTACAGCTGTTCTTCAAAACTTTATTTCATTCAAATAGCTCTAATCACCTAATTCAAGTGGGCTTTTAGAAAAACTTGTGGTCTGCATGAAAACATAATATCTGGGGTAGGTTATTTGTGGTCCAGATGTCCATGAATTAATTTTGCGTTTTGCTGCCTAATTTTTATTTTTGAAAGTGCTGAAACATTAAGCACCTTTGCATGTAGTTTTTTTTTTATCTCACTCACTGTTAGTTTGCTGTGTCACCCGACGTCGATGTGTCCTGTCCCTGAGGGGCCCATTGTTGCATGTGACGGGCTTGGGGACCAGTAGGTGCTGTCCGGAACAGCTGCAGGCCTCCCATCTCCTCAAGAACAGCAGGCCCTGTGGTGGCGCATCACTGTCCGCTCCTTCCCCTCTGCCGGTTTCTTTTCTCTCCACCACTTCTTACCCTTTCAAGTATCTTGCTCAGTAGCTAAAAGAACACTGCCCTGGCACAGTCTGTGTTTTCTGAGGCTTTGAAGACGCTCCTCAGTCACCAGGCTGTAGGAGCTGCTGGTGAACCGTGAGCTGTCTGTCCTGCATCGGCTGCTCACTTCCTTTACCGGAATAGTTGCAGGGCACTGTGACCTCTTTCAGAGTCAGTTTCCCTAGCTGACTGACTTCATCATGCCATTTGCTTCAGAAAACTGAGTAATTCTCTATTTGTAGTCTACTTGTCAGGATTTTCACATTTTTCTTTGGGTATCACAGAATCCTCTTTTTTTAATGCTGAAATTAATATCTTTATTAATAAAAGTAATTTTAGAGTACAGGATACACAGTACCCATTATTTGAAATAAGTCAGTGTTGTTTTGTTTGTTCATTTGGTGTATGGGGGGAAATCACAGTAACTAGAAGTAAAAGTTTAATCTTTTACAAATATGCTTGGTAAAGCTTATTAAGAAATATATGGGATATTGTCTCTCCTAAGCCATTTCACCGTTGTATCTAACTTGACTATAAACTAAATTGCAAACTGCAATTCTGAATGTTTGTGTATTTTAAAAAGCTAGTTCAGAGCATTCAGCCATTAAAAAATGTATCTTCAACACAAGATGTAATTTAGTTGACATTTTTTCCCTAAGCCATCTTTATTTCAACATTTTTATTAGCTGTGTATGTCTTTTTATATGTCTAGTTTTAACACTCAAAATAAATACTTAAATTCTGGTTTACTTTTTATTTGTCTTATCATTGTCAGAAGGTGTTCCTCAGGTGTCCTGCTAATTCTCTGCTTGCTGGGGGCTTTCCATATGCTAGGCATTGCACTAAGTCATGTCGTTCAGCCCTCCCAACAGCCTTATGACCACCTGATGGTGGTATTATGTCCATTCTGCAGATGAGGAAATCAGGGCTCAGAGAGAAGTTAGTGGTTTCTTGAGGACTATGAGGCTGGTCGGGAGGGGTGTGTGTCACACTCAAAGTTGTCTGGCTTCCTCACTCCGTAACTTCAACACTGCCCATTCTTCCTTCCAGCCAAACATGCCTTCTGCTTCCCCTGCCCCAGTGACATGGCTCAGGGAGCACGCAAGCACCAGAGGATACTCAAACTGAAGCAATATAGGGACAGCTGAGTGCTCGATGGCTCGCAGAAGGGAGGGTAGGCACATAAAAACCCCATACTCAAATGAGGTGGTTCAAGGACGACTATTCTAACAAGTCAAGGGGCACTTCTTGGAAGGAAGGGGATTTCACGAGCTGCTTGAGTTACAGAAGAAAACCTTAGTGGTTAAAAGAAGATGGCTGAATATAATGTAAGATAGAAGAAAGCTGAGAGATAAACCAGGACTTGGAGCAAATTTACAAAGAGGGAGCTGAGAAAAAGCATGCAGGTGCTCAAAGGTGAGCTTTCACACCAGGTCGCATTTGGATTTAGCACATCCACGTCCCTGTGGTCACTCTGGCTGTGTGTCAGTTAGCAAAGTTGACCTCACCTTCAATGCTAAAAGAGTGTTAGAAATAATTTGGTTTTACTAAGACTTTCTATATCAGTGTGCCATGAAAGTGGCATGTTCTAGAAATGATTCTGGCATTGTAAAACAAGCACCACTGCTGTGGGCACAGCTCCCAGGGCCGCTCCTGCGTCTCGTCACCTTGCATGCAGTTTTCTTGAAAGAGATGAGTGGAAAAGATTACATGTTAATTCTGGATTTGGTACAGGTTGGCGATGTGTTTCAGTTTTGATTGTGTGCTGTGGGATATTCTCCTATTGTGTAAGAGTATTATAATGTGTTTTGTGTAAAGTTATCATAAGGTTCAACCAGATTTTAAATCAAGACTAGGTTTCTAAAATAAAGTTAACTATATTTTATTTCATATATGCTTAAAATAATTATGCTTAATGATAGACTGAAACTTGCGTGTGTTTTTGTCATTAAACACTTTATCCAGCAGTACTATCGTAAAGGTTTTCATATGGATTTCTAAACTGCTCTGAAAATCTAGAAGATAGGTTGCATATTTGATATATACCTCAGACAACAGCTTTAGTGATCTTAGCTTTGCATATCTTTATATATTAGAGTCATCATGCTCTCTGTGTACTGATGTCATCTCACCTCCTATTCACCTACGTTTCGTTCATTATCGTGCATATCACTAGAAAGCCCTTTCGTACCTGGGCAGGTTGTAGATAGGTGACAAACACTTTATGACAGGAGCCGCCAGGTCTTTGGGTTACCTGTTTGTAAGTTGGCTAATGAAAGCCAAATGTCAAAATAACCTTTCTTCTATCTAGACCCATAAAGTCTTAGCACTGGAGCTGGTCATGCTGTTTTCATCAGGCTTGTAACCATGACTGGGACCCTCCTGGTTGTGTTGCTGTGGTCATTGTTGATACTATTATGGTTATTATTGTTGATTTCTATCACATTTTTCTTGAATATTCTGTCCCACCTGCCTACAAACCCTTTAGGCACAAATCCCTGAGAACCAAGACCACTGCCTGAACTCTGATTGCCAAAGAAGGCCCACAGAAGCACTCATCACAGAGGGAGGAGGAAAACCGGGGAATAGTGGGGTCGTGGGGTTACAGAAATCAAGGGAAGAAGGCAGATCACAGTTGGAATGAAGAGACTGTTGGCAAGATGAGATGTTGTGGATAGATCCAAAGGTGAGTACTAAGAAACGGTTGCTAGACTTGGCATTCAGAAAATCAGAAATGACCAGACACTGGTAAGGAAGGAATCAGAGAAACTTAACACTTTGGACTGATTCTCTTAATTCATTGCAGAGGCGGTCAAGAGAGCTGCCTCTTCCGTAAAGATCAGAAAGTATCCTGGCCTCCCCACAAAAGTGAAGCTCTTGAGGGTCAGTCTTTCAGGCTCTTTGCTCACCTGCATTTTCTTTTTTCCTGAGTGTGTGATCAATTTCTGCTGCCTCACTTCTTTGTCTATTGGAATGACTTACAGATATTTATACCCATCCCTTTGTTTTCTCCAAAGTCCTTCCTTTCCAAATGCCTATTAAATTTCTCTAGCTAAATGATAGAGACTCCTGGAACGAGGCCTCACCTGGGTGTGGAGCCAACGTCAGGTGGCCATGGAGTCATTTTCTGTTGGCGCCATGTTTCCTGTGCCCTGCTCTCAGCTGACCCCAGAAGCTCTTCCGTGAACTGCATAGAGGAGGCCCGTGTGCTGCAGCCAGTAGCCACTAGGCTGCCTCTGGGGACTGCAGGTTCTAGCCCCGCAGCTGGTACTGAGCAAGCCCTCGGGAAGTATTTGTTGAATGTTGTTGGTGAAGTTAGAGTAGCAAATGTGACAGATTACCTTTTTATATTCTTAAATACGTAGTTTACAAAGTCAAGTGGTTCCACAGAGCTGGTTGTGAAAATGAGCAGCCCCTGTGCACCTCCCTCCCCCTTTGCCTGCTCCCCAAAACCCTCCACTTTCAACTCTCTTAGCTGATCTGATTCTTGTGGTGTTTACCTCGATGTCTCTATCTTGACAGGTTTGTATTGTTACTTTTAATTGGACAGCTTTAGTCACTATGGTCTTCCTACAGCAGCAGATGAGAACTTAGCTCTCTTTTATGGCCTCCACCATGTACGCACACTTCCCTTAACCTTCCCTCCCAGTATGTTCATTTTGGTTAGACCATTGTTCAGTGTTCGAGTTGTTATGCCTATGTAAATGCCATTCAGCACTAAGCCGTAATACAGTAAGATCCTTTTCTATTATACATGTATTTTCTCTGTATTCTATGTAGTTTTCACTCGTCCCAAAACATTCTCCACCCAAGTTGTACAAATATCTTTACACTGTATTCAGACACATAGATATTTCATCAAGTTTATCTAACAGCGTCACCCACAGCCTCCTGTAGTCTGGACTGGGTGCTTTCCAGCTTATACCTGTCATCTTGGGATCTCCTGTCATCATCCTCATCCTAGAATTTTCCTCTGCGTCTTCTGGTGGGATCAGCAGCTTCTGTACCCCACGTCGTCCTCTTTCTTGGTTTGCGCCCTCATTTGATAGAACTCAACCTCTGGTAACTTCCTGAGAAAAGAGTGTGTGGGAGGTAGATTTTTTGAGACCTTGAATACATGATGAAAATCTTCCTAACTTGGCCTCATCTAGAACTCCAGGTTGGAAGAGATTTTCCTCAGAATTCTCAGGCCTCTGCACTGTTGTCCTCCAGTGCCTGTCTGTCTCTGTCTCTCATTGTAGAATCTTCTTGTCCCGGATTTCTGAAAGTTCATAGTGTGGTCTTAGGTGTGATACCTTTTTACTCCTGTTGGTGGGTCTTATGTCTTTAGATTCTGGGAACTTTTCTTGAATTATTTCTTTGAATTCCCCCTGCCCATTTTTTTCCCTTTGCTGTAGTATTTGAATCCCGTATCCTGAGCCTTCTAAAAATTTTGAGATCTTTTTCCGCTTGCTTTCTCTCTTTGTCTTTATTCTCCTTTCTTAGAAATTTCCTCACATTTATCATTTAACCTCTATTGGGTTTTTCATTTCTGCTGTGTTGGTTTTAATTTATAAGAAGATTTTTGTTCTCTGCGTGTTCTTTTTTATAGAGCCCTGTTTATTTCTTTATTTCTCTGGGAATAATTCTCTTTTAGAAGTTTTTTTTCTTTTTGCATGTCTCCAATTTGCTTTATTCTTCTGTCTTCCATATTAGAATAAATGTCGTAAGCTTTAGATCTCCCCTCATATTTAGCAGTAGGGCATCAAAATGCCGAATAGGATTGTAAACACCATGCAGGGGTTGGGGCTCAACTGTGAGCTTCAATTAGGGTAGTATGGATGGGCCTTTTCACTGGGGAACCCCTAACATTATTATATTTAGGTCCTTTTGTGGGGCTGGTCAGATTTCGCAGAGAACTTCTTCCAATCTCGCGCCAATAGGGTGTGAGCTGCTGTCAGCATTCTGGAAGGCCAGAGGAGGAGGAAGGGGTGGAGGTCGTTTTTGTTGGTCAGTACCTCTGCTCTCAACTGGATGTGGATCACACACCCTCTGCATTGACCCTCTGCAGAGAAGACAGCTCTAGCCTTCTGCTTGAGGGGGGAGGGGAGAGGGTGTGTGCCCAGCTGTGTGGGGAGGAACAGGAGGCTTGGGAGCATCTGGCTGTTTCTTACACAGCCTTTAAATGGATCATTTGGTTTTAACCCCAACCTTGTCCCCACTTCCAGAAGTTCCCATACCACAAATTCTTGAGCCATTTGGGGGTTTTTGCAGTGTAAACAAGATTGCATCTTTGTTTTTCATACTGCCAACTTAGGATCTGACTTTCTTAGATCTGCAAATCGGTTTCCAACTCACTCATAACTTGGCAGCTTTCAAATCCTTCTAGTTATTATTTCCTCTTCTATTCTCTCTTTGTAGATTTATACATTTTATATATATTTGACTATTATTAACTATATATATTCTATATAAACTGTTATATGCAGTATATGTACTATGTGTATATACATATATACAGTATATATATGCTGTATATATATACACACACATGCACATACACAAATATATAAAACTGTACTGTCATTTTTGTAGAGTTTTGGTTAGAGCTAAGATTAATGTGTGGTTTCAATCTGCCATCTATAACTGAAAGTTCAGAGAACTGTTTGTTGCTTTATTTGATGATAACACCAAACTGTTGACATTTGCATAGTCTGCAGATTTGTCACTCATGAGATATGATCATTTACTGCAACTTTTAAAAGTTGAA